AAGAAAGCATCAAGGAAGGACTGGAGGCCCACATTACATCCAGAGAAATATTTAGCCCGAGTCTCACTCCCAAGGCCTCCACAGCCCTTCCCTGGAAGAATTAATTGAGCTCCCAAAGGATCCTATTACAGGGGTTGCCAGCACCTGTGTGCTAAGGAGGACATGAGCGATTGGATTGCCAAAGTATGGGAACTGAAGTCGGACAGGATGGAGGGCAGGAAGAGCAAGGCTTAATAACCACAGTGCCCACACCTGCTCTCTGAGGAGCTGGGACTCTTAGTCTAAACGTACAGATTGGACAGACTTGCAGGGCAGGAGAGGGAACACCCCACGCCTGCATCTCCTCCCAGGGTGCCCTGTCTTTCCTTTGTCCTTCTCTGATCGGGACCTCCTGCTGGCGCTTCACACAGCTGGCCACTGAGAGCACACTAATCTCGCCCTCCCAACCCCCACTGCTGACTGGGAGCAGTTAGAAGAATCCTTAAAGGCATTGTGTCCTAAAACACAGCCTAAGAAAATGACTGCAAGCTGAAACGCAGAAGGGCGACTGCCTGCATCATTGTGCACACTGGACAGCCAGCACGAAGTTGGCCTGGTGTGAGCAGAAACCCAAGAAGATAAGAGGGAGGAGGCAAGCCAGCCTGAGCCTGCTGCGGTGGTGCATGCTCCTCTGTGCAAACCCAGGCTCTCATAACAACAGGGCACCTGGGCTAGAGCTAGCCCAGACTGAGGTCACGTGTACTCCATGACACTCGAGGTTGGCATTCCCAGGCTTTCTGCTGGCCAAATGGGCCTCATTTGGGTGGGCTGCATCCTCTGGCTCCATTGCTTCTCTCCCAGAACTTCCTGGGGGCAGCCCCTGAGTTTAGCTGATGGAAGCCATGTTCGTTTCAGTTCAATTCTGCCTGGACTGTAAAGTGAGCTGGAGGTTGGAGAGTACAAACCGAATTGCATCTTGGGATCCTACATTCCCTGATTCATACGGAGAACCCTTGGGGGAAAGTGGCAAGGGAGGGTCCCACGGTTTCTGTTTTCATCAGCTCCATCACCACCATAACCAGGAAGGCACACATCTGTGTTCTTTATCCGTTATTCTCATTATTGAATAGGAGAGTCAGGGGATGAAACCCTTTGTGGAGTTTACCATCAGAGACATGTGATTCTCAACAAGAAAGCTGCAAGGAAGAAAAAAAAAAACCAGCAAAATAAATAAAGAATTTACTGGCGTTCTAAGGCTTTTGTTTTTGAGCTGGTCTCACTTTATAGCGGTGGCTAGCTTAGAACTCTCTATGTAGACCAGGCTGGCCTCAAACTTAGAAATCCACCTACCTCTGCTTCCCAAGTGCTGGGATTAAAGGTATGCTCCACCACCACCCAACTCTAAGTCTTTTTAAAGCCCAAACTCAAATATGACTTCTTCTGGAGAGGCCTGACCCAGAGCTGGGTCAGGGGTCCCTATAACAGTCCCAGAGTGTGCTCCATTCCTATTCTGCAGGACTTACTGTCATCTAGAATAAACACCTATTCGGTTGTGTTTCTTGCTTGCTAGTCACTCACTGAGCTCATGGGGGCAGGGCCATTGCCCACCTCACTCACATGTCATCCCAGCACCCAGGAGAAACTCAATGGATACTCAGGAAATGAGCCAACAGCCAATATCAACATCTACTTTCTCCCATATGTTGATCTGAGGCAACATGACTGGGTAATTTTGTGGACTCAATCAGAAAAGATGTTTCCAGAGAACAGCCAGAGTCAAGGCTGTGGTGTAAGCAGGCATCGGACACTTATCACATGCTCATACAGTGTCAGGCCCCATTAGCACTAAGAATACAGTGGGTGGGAAGACGTATGCCCCGCATTGATTCAGCTTCCAGGATGATTCCAGTTAAAATCAGGGGCCTGAGCCGGGCGGTGGTGGCGCACGCCTTTAATCCCAGCACTCGGGAGGCAGAGCCAGGCGGATCTCTGTGAGTTCGAGGCCAGCCTGGACTACCAAGTGAGTTCCAGGAAAGGCGCAAAGCTACACAGAGAAACCCTGTCTCGAAAAACCAAAAAAAAAAAAAAAAAAAAAAAAAATCAGGGGCCTGGGGAGATGGCTCAGTGTGTAAAGTGTTTGCTGAGCAGCTATGAGGGTCTGAGTTTGGATCCCCAGCACCCAGCAGATACCAGGCATGGCAGCACACACCTATGACCCCAGCCTTGGGGGTCAGAGACAGGCAGATCCCAGGGAGGTTTGATGGCTAGCTGGTCTACCCACAACAGCAAGCTCCAGGTTAGTAAGAAACCTTGCTCCAAAAATAGTAAGGTAGAGAAGCCATTGTGGGAAATATGTGGTCTAAGCCTCTGGCTTCCACATGTACCTGCCCAGGTGAGTACACTTGTAACACTTGTGTATACACATACACATACAAAACACACCACACACACACACACACACACACACACACACACACACACACACACACAAACATACTAAAAAACCAAAACTCAGAAAGATCTTCAGCATAAGAAAGACTCAGGAAATGCAAAATATTGTTGGAAGAAACTATCAGAATTAAGAAAAGTTATGACATGAATTATGAAGGAAGAGTGGGTCATACTGCGGGCATCTAATGGGTTGGAAATCTGGGTGAAAGACTTACCCACAAGGATAAGTCAGAGCGGGAAGGCAGAGGGCCCTATGGGCAGCCCTCCTTCAGAGCCACTTCTGAGCAACCAAGGCAGTCATGCAGATGCTCAGGAAATCTGGCAAGGCCCAGACTCCCAGACCATCCAGGGCCACACAGCAAGGCCCTGTCTCAGACACCAACCAACTGAAAACTCTATGTACTAATGTTTATAACAGGCTTTTTGATAGCAGTCCAAACCTGGCGACATCTGAGATGTCCGTCAATGGGTGATGAAAAACAAGCTGTGTCACACATCTATGCCATTGAACAACACTTAGCAGGGGGCTCTGGGGCAATGGAACATTCTGGATCTTTCTTTTGCCCGTGGTTACTTGAAGGGCCAATTCATACAACTACTTGGGTGCATCTCCAAAGAGTTACACAGAGTCAAGGAAAAGAAAAACAAAACCCCAAACAAAACATGAAATAGAGGGTGGGTTAGTGTTGGCTAGGAGCTAAGGGGTGGTGGGGTGTGGAAGCACAGTCAGTAGGCATGAGGGGGAACGTGGGCTCCTTGTGACTTTTTTGTTTGTTTGTTTTTGTTGTTTTTTCGAGACAGGATTTCTCTGTGTAGCTTTGCACCTTTCCTGGAACTCACTTTGTAGCCCAGGCTGGCCTCGAACTCACAGAGCTCCTCCTGGCTCTACCTCCTGAGTGCTGGGACTAAAGGCGTGGGCCACCACCACCCGACGTGACTTATAATAGTGTGTTTCTTGGTTGTTTTTACAAGATTGCCATCGGGGGACATAGGATAGAGGCAAGCTCTCCACCATTCTTACTACAGTGTGAAGTATGTATTATCTCCAAATACAAGCTTAAAGCAAAGTCGGTCTCAAGGCACTTCCTTTGTGAGGCATTCCTGACAGACACCATGAAGATGGCACATGGATCCAGACTGAAGAGTGGCTTCAGGTGTGACTGCGAGGACAGTGGGAGGGAGCTTTTCTGTGCCAAGGGAACAGCCTGAGTCTTTCTTGAGTCTACACATGCATTAAACCTCATAGATCTGTATACCGAAAAGAGGTACCTTTAATATACAATCGTTAAGAATAAAGAGAGATTTAATAAGGCACGTACCTCCTTGGTAGTTTATATAGCTGAGCTGTAACAAACACAGCAGTTGTAACAGCAGGAACAGCTGTCACTGTCATTGTTATTGTTGTGTTTCACTTACATTCTTCGATCTGCACAGGAGCCTGTGAGGGGATGAGGGCAGGGGCCATGAACGCCATCTTATCCTGAGCTCAACTCACTTCGTCAGGCTTGGCAGCGAGTTCTTCACCTGCTGAGCCCTCTCGGTGGCCTGTAAGCCCCATCTTATGGTGAGACCATGAAGTTAGAGAAGATAACCTCTCTTCCAAGCTCTTATGGTGTGAACTTGTCATCCTTGGAAGGATAAGTGAGTTTTCCAAGGAGGGGATAAGCCTCAGAGGCCAGGGGAGGTGGCCACTGTACTATTCAAAGGATGTTTTGGTTACATTTAGAGAAGCACTTCCCAAAGTAGCTGAGGCATCGGTGGTCCTGCAGTGTGTCTAAGCAGGACAGCAGGCAACACCCTGGGGTGCTTCATCTGTTGCCCTTGGCTTTGGCACATAAAACCATTTGCTTTGGAAGCCATCGGTCGGGGTTGAGGGTCAGTCTGGTGACAAGTATCCCTTCCAAGGAGCTCCTGTCTTCCTCTGGCTCCTCTGGGGCGTAGTCTAAGGTCTTTGGTGAGGCTGTCAGAGCCTGTACAGTAGGTTTCCTCCTGTTCTGCAGACACACTGGGAGCTCCCTCTGCCTAGAAATTCTGTGCCCCAGACATCCAGCCGACCCACTCTCGTCCCATTCAGATCTTTATGTGCACATCGTCTTCTCAATGAGGCTACCTAGTAGAAAGTTCACCACTGCTGGGGAGGGGATGCTGGTGACGGCTCTGTCCCTCATTATCACCTCACTGAAGTGTGGGCTGGCTCTCAGGGCCCCTCAAGCTCCTGGGTTCTGAAATTCTGACCCTTGTAGCTATCAGAGACCCCTGTTGAGCTCACGGGCAGGGCTGGGACCAGCTCGCCACTCCGTCCTTAGTGACAAAAAGGCACAGCCCCAGCAGTGGGTACTAGAGGGAATGCCATATCATCTGATCCATAGCTGCTTGATCTTCTGACAATGCGCGTTGAGGACATGTCCATGAAGGACGTCACTGAGGTGGGGGAAGAATGCGGCCTGTTGTCTGGGCCCAGAACACAAAGGCGGGTTTGTGCACACGTGGGCACTCCCGGCCCAGGCTGGATCAGCTGCTCCCGTTTCCTCCTTTGCCATCACAATACAACTACAGAGATACAGTTTGCCCTTCAACCCCTCCGCTCCAGGAGAACCAGGCAGTGGGATTTCTGCCCACTGGGTGCCCGCTGAGCACAGCCAGTAACTCCAGCCTCCCGGCCCACTTGGCTCCTGGTGAGTCTAGAGTTTCAATTGCCTGCCTCTCCCTGACCTCATTAGCTGTCCCCTCTCGTCTTCTCTTTCTCTTGTCCTCCCCGGCACACGTGTGAGGGGCAGATCCAGGGTGATCTGGACTCCGCTGATTACCAGGGAGCCCAGGCTGGAAGCTGAGTCATTAGCTGCTGGGTGGTGGCCAGCTGTGGAGCAGGGTCATTCCAATGGGGCTTTACTCAGGCTGGGAAACAGCAGCTGTCCTGGCCTACCACCCTCATCCTAGGACACTGGACCAGGGACATTCTAGCCAGAGCCCCTACTCTTGCCCAGCATGGGGACAAAGCGGCGTCAGGATGAGATGGCCTGAGATGTAACAATAGACTCCCACATTACAGGTGAGAGAAGTAGCGTAGGCGAAGGCCATAGGTCCTGTGCATCTTAGTTTCCTCATCGATGGACATCCAGGAGAACGTTCTTCCACCGACGACGGACGGCTGTTGAGGGCTTTCTACGGACCCTGAAGCAGTGCTCAGCATGGGTCGACCTAGAGTAAACCCTGAAGCAGTAAGCTGTGCCACCATGCATCAGTACCCAGCACCATTCATGTGCGTATCAACTGAGACCCTTCTATGTGTGAGACACTTCAGAACACTTGATAAGCCAGTGAAGAGACAAAAATCCCTCCCGGCTCCCCCCAAAAAAATCCCTCCCATATGTAAGGTAACCTTCCCTCCCTCCCTCCCTCCCTCCCCCTTCCTCCTCCTCTTCCTTTTTCTCCTTCTTTTGACAGGTTCTCACTTCTAAATGGAGAGAACTGAAAACTGTGAGCTGTGTTAAATGAAAGGGCACAAAGTACATGAGAGGGTAGTGTGGGAGTCTGCTGGAGTCCAGCTCCGACCTGCTCCCACCTTTCACAGGGTTCTTGGGTGGAGGAGAGAGGAATGAGGAAATGATAGATAGAAAGACAGAAAGAGACAATAAGAAAGACAGAGACACAGGATAGCTTTGGGAGGGCCTTGGGTCAATACCCAGCCTCCCAGGCCTTTATTCAAAGGGCTTTTTATAATATGCCAAGGGGAGAGGCAAAAGACCTCCCCCAAAGATCAAAGCACACTGTACAGCCAAGTATAGACCCTTTCAAACACCTGGTAAACACTCCCCTGGTCAAATCATCCTATTATGCAGCCCTGCTGGGTAAAGCAAGCTCAGATTCTCTGACCCTGAATAAGGTCTCACTAGATAGCCTCTATGGGTCACCATAAGATAGAGCTCAGAGGTGGGGAAGAGGACTGAACCCTGGGAGTCAGGGAAGGCCCGTGTTTAAGCAGGTGGCCTGGGAGAGTCTTAGGAGATGATGCTTATGTAAAGATTTGAAGGAGACAGGGGGTGATGTGCCAAGAGGGTTTCTGGGGGAAGGATCTTGTAGGCAGAGGGGATACCCTGTTGCTCCTTGGGGGTGGCAGCTTACCTGGTGTGTCTATAGATTGGGAAGAGGTCCATTTTAGTGGATAGAATGCAAGAGAGAATCTGAGGGACCAGGATAAGGACATAAAGGGGTCTGCTCACCTGAGACTTTTGAAATACTAGGTCAAGCCTGCACTGAATGCCCAACAGAGTCACTTAGATAACGGAGCACATTGAGTGCCGGTGGCTAGGCTGTCTTACAAGGTGTCGAGGTTCTTGACTCCCCTAACAGGTTCTTCTAATTTGTGTGTGTGTGTGTGTGTGTGTGTGTGTGTGTGTGTGTGTGTGTGTGTGTGTGTGTGAACTGAGTGTCCTCCCTATTCCTACCCTTCCCATCACCGAATTGGAACTCAGCAATCCCTTGTCATTCGCTGGCTCACCTGCAGCATTCCTGGCGGGCCAGCATGCATCAGGCAGCCCTGCTCCTTCCTGCACTGACACTGTTGCTGGCTTCCTTATCTCTAGCCTCCTCCTTGACCTCAGAGGTCCTCTCCTGACTGGGGTTTGCGTTCTCTCTGTCTCAGTCTCTGTCTGTCTCTCTCTCTCTCTCTCTCTCTCTCTCTCTCTCTCTCTCTCTCTCTCTCTCTCTCTCTCTGTCTCTCTCTCGGCTCTGCCCTGTATTCAGCAAAACCCACCTCACCCCCTTCTCTTTTTGTGTTTTTGTTTTTTGAGACAGGGTTTCTCAGTGTAGCCCTGACTGTCCTGGAACTCGCTCTGTAGACCAGGCTGGCCTCGAACTACCCACCCCTTCTCTTGATGGGTATCTTGATGGGTGTATAGAAGGATCATTCCTAAAATCCCAATTCTTGCCAAGTCCAACAGTGATTCCCAGGGCTGATGATGGTCTCCCGTTTCTGGTCCTACCATGCTTAACAATTATTTGAAAAAGTAATGTGGCAATGTGGATAGTGTATGATACTACCCATGTTTAGTAGACTATGATAGTAAAGTGCAGATACCCCGTGATTTGGGAATTTCATTTTTAAGAATTTAGCTAAAGAAAATAGACCTGACTAGAGAAATACCCTCATTGGACAGGAGATGTTCAATTGGTAGAGCACTCACCTAGCATGCAGGAAGCCCTGATTACTCTCCAGCACTGCGAAAACTGAGTATGGAGATACCTGCCTGTGATCCCAGCACGCAGGTAGAGCCAGGATGATCAGGAGTTCAAGGTTATCCTTGGTTGCTTAGGGAGTTGGAGGCCAGCCTGAGCTACATGAGACTCCATAAGACAGAAAGAAAGAAAGGAAAGAAAGAAAGAAAGAAAGAAAGAAAGAAAGAAAGAAAGAAAGGAAGGAAGGAAGGAAGGAAGAAGAGAAAAGGGAAGAAAGGAAGAAAGGAAGGAAGGAAGAAAGAAAAAAGAGGAGAGAAAGTGAGAAATTAGGAGGAAAGAGCAGGTCATATCAATAAAAATGTGTATCATAGAAACATATATAATATGGAACACAAAAATGGTAGCAATGATTATTATTTATTAAGTATTTACTAATGATCAGGCATCATTAAGTTGTTTATTATGGTTATTTCATCCAATCCTTGCCCTATCTCTGTAAGAAAGGAACAATGATTATCTAGCAGCGTGGTTCTCAACCTGTGGGTCACAACCCTTTCACCGGGGTCACCTAAGGCCATGGGAAAACACAGACGTTTACATCACAATTCAACAGTAGCAAAACTACAGTTATGAAGTAGCAACGAAAGTAATTGTATGGTTGTGGGGGGGAGGGGTCACCACAGCATGAGGAACTGTATTAAAGGGTCTCAGCCTTAGGAAGGTTGAGAACCACTGCTCTAGCAGGGACTACAACTGCCATGTGTGTAAGAGAGCGTTCTCTAGAGGAAGGGAACCAGTGTGCTTTAACATATTAAAGGGGGATTTGTTGGATTGGCTGCTTGCCGACTGGGGAATGGAGTCCAGACATACAATACCGTCTGGGAAACCCAGCGATGACTGTCTTCACCCTGGGGAGTCGAGAATCCAGTACCTGCCAAGTCCATAAGACTGGATGTCTTAACAGTCCCAAGTTGGTGCTAATGGCTGGAGAATTTCTAAAGAGCCACACTGGTCTTCTGTCCAAATTGGAAGGCCAAAGAAGCTGGATCCTGATGTCAGCACGGTGGCCACGGCAACAACAGGGTTGATGAACTCGTGAACAAGATACAAAGGCAAGCAGGCAAAAAGCCAAAGCTTTCCCTCAGGTTTCCCTCTATCTGGGCTGCCTCCAGAAGATGCTGCCCACACTCAGGCTGTGGCTTCCCACTAAGAATAACCTAATCAAGAAAACCCCTCACAGTCACGCCCACAGGCTAACCTAAACCAGATTATCCCTCACAGGTGTCTAGAGGCTTGTCTTTCGGACGATTCTAGATCTGTCAAGTTTATAATATCAGCCATCACAAGTCTACCCCTTATCAACTTCAGACCCAACACATCTCCTTATGCTGTGTTTAATTTCCAAATGACGTTTACAGAACAAAGGTAAAACTTCAGCTGGAGCTGCCTGCTGACTAGGGAACGGAGTCCAGACAGAGAAAGAGAAGACCGTGGTAGCCATCTTAGTCGAACTTAGCTGCTGTCCAGGCATTATCTTGTAGTGCTTAGAGATTGTAGCTATTTTTGGAGAGTCTGTGGCCAGTACAGAAACTCCATGTATTTGGCTACACCCCTGCCTGAGGTACGATCAGGTCAATGTCAGTCAAGTCCCTGGCCACCCAAACTCTCAAGTTCCTCTGGAAATCACTCCTAACTGTGGCGAAATGGTTGATACTGTAAAAAATAGGACAGTGATAGTGGTTTGTTTGAGGAAAGAGCTGACATGAAATTACCCTTCAGAAGTGAGCTTTATTAGGAGAGAGGGTCTCACAACCATGGGAGCCACGATCTGGCCCTGGGATGAGAGATCATTATAAAGGGACAGTGCATTATATCAGCGACAGCATGATGGAACTGGGAAGGGAGAGAGAGAGAGAGGTTTTCCTCCAAAACCTACTGAAAGCCTACCTAAGCGGACAGCTACAAGTCAAAGAGATGGGGTGATGGGATGATGGGGTGATGGGATGATGGGGTGATGGGATGATGGGGTGATGGGATGATGGGGTGATGGGATGATGGGGTGATGGGATGATGGGGTGATGGGATGATGGGGGCATGGCCAGCGGACAAACTGAGGAGAGCGCAGGAAAACACCTGACCAGATCCTTTCAGGGTGGCGGGACAGCCTGTGTCACAAGAGGCATAGACAGTAGAACTATAAATGGGCTGTGACATCACAGCATGTCATAGATCTTTACTCTGTGTCTCAGAGAGAAATCTGCAGTGGGGCGTGGCCTGACCCCTTCAGGTTTGGGGCTCTGGCTACTTATAGTGAGATACTGTGACACCAGTCCCCCACATAGTCCCGAGCTGTGGAGGTATCCTTTGCCGAGCTGTCCAAACTCACTGACCCACTCCACTGAAAGCTATCACAGCACCTTTACTGAGGATTTGGTTTTGAACAGCAAATCTACGTGAGCATTCCAATTCCCCTGAGCCTTTGAATCTCGTCACCAACACTAAGCTAGGAGTATTAGACATCTCCAAATGAACAGCAGGCCATCTTTTGATGTGTATGTCAAAAATAACAGCCAGACAATCAAATACACTCTTGGCACCTTCTTTTTAACACCACACACACACACACACACACACACACACACACACACACACACACACACACTACATACATGTTTTGTTTGCATATAGGTTTGCATCACACGTATGTCTGGTGCCTGTGGAAGTGAGAAGAGGGTGTTGGATCCCCTGGGACTGGAGTTACAGATGGTTGTGACCTGCCCTGTGGTGTTGGGAATTAAGTCTGGGTCCTCTGGAAAAGCAGCCAGTGTTCTTAACCACTGAGTCATCTCTCCAGCCCCCTTGGCACCTTCTTTTAGTTTCATGAGCTACAATATTAAACTAGAATCTCTGCTCAATGAGGCCATACTGATAAACTCTTCCTGGTCTAGTTTTGTTTTTTCCAGCATTATCCCACTCCCCCCAAATTCGTTTCCACCCATATTCCCTAGATTTCCATTTGAATGCATTAGGAAACTCACTACATTCTTTAGGGGTATAGTGCAGCTCCTCACGGACCATGCTTCC